TTGTGCAGAATGGCCATGTTTATATACAACTTATGAAGCAACATGTACCCTAAATTACTTACTTTTCGAGTTATCTGGGGGAAAAGATTGTATTATGTCCATTTTCTACCTGTAAAATACAGTCTCACGAGCTCTTCTGCGCGCGGGAGGGACTTTATGACGTCATCGCCAAAATAATACAAACGTTATTTACACGCGTTAGAGAGCAGTTAGAGATTTAGGAATTTCGACTCGTTGCTTAGTTTGCTATTTGTCACAATCTGTCAAAATATGAGGATAACTTTTTTTTCAGTTAACTGGTCCTTTAAGATATGCCTGCTGAACTACTTTCGGTGAGTCTTAATGCCTGAAAACAGTAAAAGGGGTATAATAGTATCTGTATAGAGGGTAAATAGTAATGTGAGTATAAGGGCTACGATCGTGCTTGCCAGCACTGTAATATACGTTTCAATTCCATTTTTTACTTTCCATACTGATCTTATTTAGCTAGAATGTAAGGTAAATGTTAAAACGAATTAGCCCAAGCACTTAGCAACATCCCGGAGGAGTTTATGACACAAAACGCCTGCACGCTTAAAGTTATATTGAAATAACCCCTCGTGCTAAAGCAAGTCAGCGTTATTTTCATATAAACAATCCCTCGTGCTTCGCACTCGTCGCGGGAAATAAAAATGTAATTCTTGTGCGTGTCTGCGTTATGTGTGTTATAGTTATACAGGGTGGCCCAAAAGTTACTACCCACACGCAACCCTTTAATAACTCACGTAATTCTTCTTAGAATTGCACAGAAATTTCAGAGATTATAGATATGGGTCAAACTTAGATTTCCTGAAAGTTTCGGCAAATTTAATTAATTACAGTGGGTGTTGCACGCCCATCCCTCTTTTCTTGTCATACGTTGTATGACCCGCCGCGCACGAGTGCCCGGCTCCCCCTGTATCGTAGAAACTCTACAGGGGTAGAGTTTCACCATAGTGAAACGACCGTGGGGGTCACGACGTGATACAACTCTTTTCCACTATTGTCACCATAAAGTGTATTATATTGACCTGTAATTCTCGGCACAGTTTTTAGTTTTAAAGAACATCATTATCCTCCAGTCAAGGGTTTAGTTCAGTAATCTGCGTCGAGCAGGCTGCAACCAACAATTCTACCACTTCAATAATTCACGGTATTACGTTGCTTAATACATAAGCTCTAAGACTAAACTGTCAACATGGAGTCTCATGTTAAAGGACCAGTTAACTGAAAAAAAAGTTATCCTCATATTTTGACAGATTGTGACAAATAGCAAACTAAGCAACGAGTCGAAATTCCTAAATCTCTAACTGCTCTCTAACGCGTGTAAATAACGTTTGTATTATTTTGGCGATGACGTCATAAAGTCCCTCCCGCGCGCAGAAGAGCTCGTGAGACTGTATTTTACAGGTAGAAAATGGACATAATACAATCTTTTCCCCCAGATAACTCGAAAAGTAAGTAATTTAGGGTACATGTTGCTTCATAAGTTGTATATAAACATGGCCATTCTGCACAATTTGCACACATTCAAAAACCTTTAGGGCCTTCATAGCCCAAGTTGCCAGATACCCATAGTTTTGTATGATTTCTGGAACCGAAAATCAGTTTTTCGCCAATAACTGAAAAAGTAAGCACTTTAAGGCATATGTTTGTTCGTAAGTCATATATTAATATGCTAATTGCGGTTCTTTTGCACCCTGTCTAAAGACTCTATCACGATCCTATCGAAAATGGGCTCAGCACCACGCCCAAAATGGTTTTTGGCGAATTTCTCGAAAAGTAAGGATTTTAGGCCATGTGTTGCTCAATAACTCCTATATAAACATGCATATGCGGCTTCGTTTAAGCCTATTTTGAAGCCTCTACGACCTTCAGAAGCAAGGGGTCGGTTACGTTATTGGGTCAATAGGGGCGTGGCCCTCCTGGGTTTTCTCCACGGTCAAAAAAATGTCTCCAAACGAAAATCGTTTATTCATACCTTCAGGAAGGTCTGTGCAAAGTTTCGTGAGTATTTGAACATTTGCAGGTTCATTTCCATAAATGTCCATAAATGACTGGAGTACACAACTTAAGAGTTAACTTTAGAGAAACTCATAAGTCATTTATCTCAAATTAAGCTGTTAGTGTCCATGATCAACCTGTGGCGACAATGTTTTACGTGAAATGTAAAAATCAGGAGTAATATTAAAAGTGTATTTTTAGATTAAAGTGCTAGCTCATAGTTTTAGAATTGTATAGATTATAACGTTGGTCGTTTAGCCATCTAACAATCGATCGTGCCGTAATATATGGCCAGAGAATAATAGGGTCTTGGAAATTCTATAATTGTTCAGTGGGTCGATTGACTGAACACGTTTGCACTTGGTATTTAAACTTACCAGTAGTTTATTTATGTTATGTACCGATGATAATGCAATTAGGATAACAACTAGGTAAGCCGTAAGTCTAATTCAAAACACACTGCACACCGTACACTCCGAACAGTATTACTGTTTGGTAGACCCGAGACCGGGTATTTTGGCGGGAATTCTGTTCCCACGGCACTGTTCTGATAGAAGCTACTTCTACTAATGGTCCCAGAGGAACGGCCGTAAAGTAGCCAGACTTCTTGTCTCCTGTTCTGGCTGACACATGCGGATTAAAGTTTTAAATTTCGCTATATGCTATAAATATAATTGCTCTCGGAATTGAACAAACTCCTACTTATCTAGATCCTTTCTAAATTCGTTAGAGTTTCATGGACAAAAATAATCGGTACAGTCTCCCTAGCTGCTTGTGTAATTAAGCAATGAAAGCAATCCAAAATTATCACATATAACATAAGTTGTAATAGCAGAAACTTTCTAACCGTACATTCACCCGCCACTGTTCAAGAACCTACATCACTGTTTAAAATCATGACGTGAGCACTGTACATCCAATCAGCTATTCCTTTAGTTAGAATGATAGCCAAAACTATAAGGATTTTGGAGAACTAGGGTAGTAGTCATAATTCTAAAATTTGAGTGAGTTACATGTGTTTTATTGACGATGATAAACATTTGTAATGTAAATTACGCTATGCAAGCGCGCACTGAGGGACTTTATGACGTCACGAGGCCACAGCTTATTATTGCAATAACACGCGTTACACGTACGATAGAGAGTTGGTTCTTTCGGCGATACGATTCTTTACCAGTTTGTCACAGCTGATTTAAATCTTAGCCAAATTGGAGACTACAAATTTTTCAGTTAACTGGTCCTTTAAGTTTAAAACATTCTAATTCAATTTCAAAGATGACAGGAATAAGAAAAGTGTTCTAAATTTTGGTGAGTTATGACAATATGACCATTTCAAAATCCATCGGATACGTGATCTCTGCACTCAATCAGTGATCTCTGCACTCAATCATTGATCTCGTCACTCAATCTGATCAAGAGCCCAGCTCAAGATTTATGCGAGATTGCGAGCCGGACTCATCGCACAAAATTTGTAAATAAATGAGGAAACAGAAAAAGTTTAACTTAAAAGTTGAGGGAATTAGGAAATTAACATGTATTTTATACTCTTAAGTCTTAACGTGTATTTTATCACTTGTTTATAGCGTGAAAACTTCGACGTAACGCGCGCGAGATTTTTGCCAGATTTTTGCGAGTTTCGTTTAAATCTCATATAATAATAATAGCTAGGCTCACGATATCGCGAGATTCTCCGCGAGATTTCGGCACCCTCTTTCAGCACTACATATTCGGTCGCGCGCTTGCATTTTCATCGCTTTTCAGCGTGTTTATTCACTGTACTGTCTAAGTCTTAAAGGATACTAGTTGTTATAAGATCAAGATTCACAGTGGTTACTATAGTTACCATGGTTACCATTAAAGGAGGTACTATTCCTGGCTACAGTTTACTCCATCTTTCACAGAATATACTTGATACTGCCATAGGCATAGTGAATATTTCTTCATTAAAAGTTTGAGAAAGGGTCTCTTCAACTGGAGAACTGACTTATTAATCCTAGCAGGTAATTAACTCTGGATCCTCATCACATTGGTTCCATTCTAAATTCTAGCCATAAACAAAACAAACATTACCAGATAACTCCGTTTACAATAATTTGACATGTTCCAGTGTGAACGAGGCCTTCCCCGGACAAATCCTTAAATGCCAGTCTTCTCTTAGTTCTCTAGATGAAGTATGAACAGTATAATCTATCGGATAACGTATATTACAAGGTGCTCTGATGATAATTTTAGTAAAATAATTAATAATTGCCAAAAGGATGACCGTTGACGAGACTCGAACCCGAGTCGACTGCTTGACGAGCGCGCCCTAAACTATCGGGCTACGTGAGGCTTACCATAATTACAATATGTAACATAATATAATTCATAAAAATACGCACGTAAATTTTTCGTTATTTATGGATCCAATAACAGTGACATACTTTTCGCTTACAAAGGAACTCGCGAAATCTTTTTAAATAGAAAATAATTTGTGGGGCAAGAAATCTTGCAGGCTGGAGGGGGGGGGGGGGGGGGGGGAGTACATTTCGCCACTGCACGTGACACGTGAAAATCGCACTTCTAGTGTCAAAATCCAATCTCATCGCACTTTTTTTAGAATCTTGATAGGGGATCAAGAGTAAGGCACCACCTTCGCTGTGAAGGACTAAACAAGCCAGAATTTAATTCTGTAAGTAGTAAACCCTACTACTGCCTAATCTACAGTTATATAATAACAACAAATAAAATAAATCTGATTTTAACAGGAGCTAACAGACTGGTGAATGGGGACTTGCCACCCCATGGCAACATTAAAATATATCGACTCTGTTACATCGTTTCCTGTGTGTCCTGTTCGTTTCCACTTATCATTGCCACACAGTAATGGTATGCACTATGCAGTTGCTAGCTATGTGTTCCATCTTTTCCATCTTAATTTGTATCAATAATTCCTCTTTATATCACTCACTCTATGTTTCTAATACCATTCCCTCCAAACTGCAAAGTGCAATGTAAGAGGTGTATTAACAATATTCAGACTAAAGCACCTCCTGAGGAAGCTGACACCACCTGCTCGGTTAGTCTCACACCCTTATATGGGCATCGCGTGTTTATTGTAGTACTGCTCGGTTAGTTATATACCCTTATATGGGCATCACGTGTTTATTATAGTACTGCTCGGTTAGTCATATACCCTTATATGGGCATCGCGTGTTTATTGTAGTACTGCTCGGTTAGTCACATACCCTTATATGGGCATCGCGTGTTTATTATAGTACTGCTCGGTTAGTCATATACCCTTATATCTTTATATGGGCATCACGTGTTTATTATAGTACTGCTCGGTTAGCCATATACCCTTATATGGGCATCACGTATTTATTATAGTACTGCTTGGTTAGTCATATACCTTTATATAGGCATCACGTGTTTATTGTAGTACTGCTCGGTTAGTTATATACCCTTATATGGGCATCACGTGTTTATTGTAGTACTACTCTTGTTTAAATTATTATTCACTTACTTCAGAAAAAAAAAAGAATTATGGGAATTAATAATAATCTGGCTTGTGTGAATGGATAATAGTTAATACCATATTATCCAGTCAGATTAAAGCCAATAATCAGGGTATATTGGCTTTAACTTAACTTACAAATAACGGTACATTTCAGGTGGCACAGTGGAATCACACTACAAGTAAACACAAAATAAAGGACTTTGCTTTACACTCAGCCTGGGATACAGCCGTCTCCTTCGTCTTTTATCAGCGATCTCACGAGAAAAACTGATGTTTTATTTTATACGTTAATTTATAATTGTTGTTGATAATTAATTGTATTTTGTTGAGCCTTCAGTTGTTTGCCTCGTTATTAGTATGACTTATTATTAGTATGACGTTATTAGTATGACTTGAAATATTTTATCAAGTTGTTTTTAACAATTATTAAATTCATAGATCATACTGCTGACTAAAGATATTAATTATTATCGCTGACTTAATAGAACCAATCAACCAATGTTAAATGTCTTTGTTGGCATCAAATTGTTTGATGAACTTATTCCGGAGTGACATCATTAATGAGTTCTAAACCAAAATATTTGATATTATTTAATTGTAAATATTGACCTCAGAACTCAGAAGACTGAATTTCAGATGCAATTTCGTTGAATAACCTGGCAATTATTTGAAGTAATATCATGTATTTTGTAACATTAAAAACGGAACATATTTTTTCCTTTTCACCCTTTTGAAAAAAGGCAATAGTGAAAGGTTACGAATGGACGTTTTTTCAGAAAAACGTGGATTTTGGAAATTGCAGTAACGTAGGTTGTAGGTGGGTCTAAATATGTCGTCAGTCCTTCCTTACTTCCGTTAGTAACCATGCAACGAAAAAGTTGCGCGCGCAAGGATTGCTTGCGGAGATGTGATGTATAGATAGCCTGTGATCTATGAATGCGCGGCGCAACTGTGTTTTAATGTATACGATGTAATGTATAATATTAGGTTATAAGCCCAATTTGTACGTGGCACGCGTAGTGTATTGATGTGTCATGTGTACACGAGTATAGTTACCTTTGCTTACAATTTAAGTTCTTTGCTTTACAAGTTAAGTTCTTTGGCAATTGAACTGAATTTCAAGTGTTTCCTGTACTTAATGCATAATTTATCAATATTATTATCATGAAGACTGAAGTGAGCTGATTGGAGCTTATACTTAAATTTATAGTAAATGTGAAATGGAAATCTAGCGTCCGCCAAAACGAAACAACGGGCGCAATTCTTGTTAAAACGTTCACTCGTTTGATTCTCCGGTAGTCAAACACAAGCTCATCCATATGGGCATCACGTGTTTATTGTAGTCAAACATCAGCCATGTTGTCAACTGAGATTATAAGTTGTAAGACAAAGAAGGATCAAAATTGAAACCAAGCTTACTACCCCCAAGTAGCATTACAAGTATTGCCTTTGACTAAATTATTTACACTTAAATTAGTTTAATAAAACGCTTGTTCTTCTAAAGGTTTCTTGTATAATCCCCTCTACCTCATTAGATTTAAGTAAACATGGAGATAATACGAGCTCCTTACAAGAGGACTAGAGTGATAGCTTCACAGGGAGAAGAGTTGGAGCAACACATCGTTACTCCTGGTTAGGTCCTTATATGGGCATCATGTGTTATTTCTGGTTAGGTCCTTATATGGGCATCACGTTTAACTCCTGGTTAGGTCCTTATATGGGCATCACGTGTTATTCAATTCCTGGTTGGGTCCTTATATGGGCATCACGTGTTATTCCTGGTTAGGTCCTTATATGGGCATTGTGCGTTTCAAGATAAATTTTTCAAGACGTCCGTTTTTTTTTTCTATTGATTTTAAATTTGGTCTTCCTCCAGGTGACGTCATAACACAGAATCTGGATTTTATGAAGTCTCACGGAACTGCTTTGAGTCACGATCACATCTGTGCTACAGTTGCTGGTGCTGTATACAAGGTAAGTTCAACTACTTTTACCTGAAGCTAACCCTTTTAATTTATTGCTTGAGTAGGAGGGTCCAGTTTTCGTGACACAAGAAGTTCCCATAGTCACCCCTCTCCCATTAGATATCTTGGTTAAGGAGTAAACATATTCCTGCTGTCTGCTGAGCAGGTGGTGCTCTTTGCTTTGATAAAAGTGGTCGCGCTGTGGCCTGTGCGCGTGTTATCTCCTACGTTAATGATGTTAAATTGAATTAATATTATTGACTTACTCGGAAAAGATGTTCCGTAAACCCTCACTTCTGAAATTTGGTGCCCATTTTTCCCGGAGTCTGTGTCCGTAATCCAGATGGTGTCGCCTTTACCACCTTTACAGTCGAACGGGTAAGTCTGCTTCTCTTGGCTGCTGCTGCTCTGTATCTCTGTAAAAAGTTATAGATTTTGGGTATAGAAAGATCATTTTATTTTTTAGTCAGTTAACATACGCCACGTTAACCGTTTATGAAGTACAGAAATCTATTAATCAGCCCAAATCTTAGTTTGATAAACTACCTGTCACAGTGCCGCAGTCCGTCTCTGTGTTATCAGCCCCTAACCTTGCAGCATCTGTTGTTATAACCATAACAATCGTATTTATGAATCTATTAATGCTAGGTCCATAATCATGTCTATTCGTTACATTCACTGTTGAGATGGTGTATAGACCGTCCAGATAGAGTTTCAGAAAGTTCCCTGAAATCCCTGCAGCATCATTTTTCACGCTGTAGAACGTACTGTAGTCCCCATCATGTGCGTTAGAGGGCGGTCTGATTGGATTGTGACTCTTAGCTTCTGAACTCTTTATATCAATGAGTGTGTTTTCTGCTCTCACTGCCAAAGGTCCTGAGGGAGAGACAGGTTTCTACAATTTATGAATAATCTTGATACAAGGTTTGCAATAACCTTTAATGGACTTTTGGGTCTTTTTATTATTTGGATGTAACATAAGACTTTAATTTCAACTTACCATAATGGAGAAGTGCTGTTAAAGCCAGGGTTAACATCATTGGAAATGCTGACATTTCTGTGTCTTCCTAAAATAGAAGTATACGAATTGAATGTTTTATTTCATTATTGTGAGGTGAAAATCAAAAATAAATGTTAAGTTGATAAGGTATAGCCATACATGTAGAATAATTTTCGACAATAAGGTAACAGTAAATATCTTAGTTGGCAAAACTAATACTTATAGAAGCCCGAATATAAAACATAATGAGCAACAACGGCTGTTAGTTATACTTATAAAATGTTTCTGATAGGCGGGGTCCTGAGCCATCTCACGCGCACGAACCGTTGAACTTTAGTCCTTTGCCCATTATGTAGTCCAAAGGTTGTTATCTTCCCACTGCAACGTGGCCAGCAACCAATATAATTACAACAGAGCTTGTGATCTGACATTAACGTGCTGGTATAATATAATATAATAAATATAATATAATATTTTAAATTGCTAATATTCGATCTTCACGGGGTCATATTATTATTGAAAGGGTTCGCAGGGCCCCGTTAAGAGGTTTAATGACTGATAATGAGGCTATTAAGTTGTTGAGCATGTGGATAGTGCTGATCGTGATTACAGCTGCGAGGTTATTAAGCCTAATTTAGAAATGTAATGTCTATAAAAGATGAGAGTTTTTGTAACTTTTCACTAAATCATGGGAGCTGGATGATACCTTACAAGAAGAAATATAAACTTTTTCCACAATTTGATATTTATCGGATACTGTTTAAGATTAGAAACGTCGCACACCTTTTAGGGATGGACATTCCGATGCTGCACCTACATAATAATATGTGAAAAAGCACATTGATATCAACGTTAAAATAGGTTCAAAATATAAACTGCGTAGCGCGCACAGAATGGAGTTACAATTTATGAGAAGCTGATAATTTATGGTGATCTTTACTGTTTACCAGTTAACTCACTAGTGCTAGTAAGCTAACCCTTTTAATTAAGTGCTAGGGAAGAAGGGTCCAATTTTACAGACACGAGAATTACCTATAGTCATCTCACTCCCCCATTAGATATCTTGGTTAAGATTAGAGTTCCTACTGTCTGCTGAGAAGGTGGTGCTCTTTGCCTAGTACCTATAGTCATCTCACTCCCCCATTAGATATCTTGGTTAAGATTAGAGTACCTACTGTCTGCTGAGAAGGTGGTGCTCTTTGCTTAGTACCTATATTCATCTCACTCCCCCATTAGATATCTTGGTTAAGATTAGAGTACCTACTGTCTGCTGAGAAGGTGGTGCTCTTTGCTTAGTACCTATAGTCATCTCACTCCCCCATTAGATATCTTGGTTAAGATTAGAGTTCCTACTGTAGTACAGTTTGCTGAGAAGGTGGTGCTCTTTGCCTATTGGAGGTGGTTGCTCTGTTCGCGCGTAATCTATTTAGAGTTAACTCCTACATAAATGTTGTTAAATTGAATTATTATTGTTGACTTACTCGGAAAAGATGTTCCGTAGACCTTCACTTCTGAAATTCCGTGCCCAGTTCTCCCTGTGTCCGTATCCGTAATCCAGATGGTGTCGCCTTTACCACCTTTACAGTCGAACGGGTAAGTCTGCTCCTCTTGGCTGATGACAGTCCGCACATCATTTGCTGTGGATACATGGAGTTATAGATTTTGGATGTAGAAAGATCATTGTATATTTTTAGTCAGTTAACATACGCCACGTTAACCGTTGATGAAGTACAGAAATCTATTAATCAGCCCAAATCTCAGTTTGATAAATAATGATTACCTGTCACAGTTCCACAGTCCGTCACCCCTCCCGAAGCATCTAACCTTGCAGCATCTGTTGTTATAACCATAACCATCGTATTTCCGAATCTATTAGTATGCCCATCAAGTCTATTGGTTACTTTCACTAATGAGATGGTGTATAGACCGTCCAGATAGAGTTTCAGAAAGTTCCCGGCTGTATCGCCATCTTGCACGCTGTAGAAGGTAACGTAGTTCCCGTCATGTGCGTAAGATGGTGGCATACCGTTATAGTGACTCTTAGCTTCTGAACTCTTTATATCAATCTGCGTGTTTTCTGCTCTTACTGCCGGAGGTCCTGAGGCAAGTCCACAATTACGAATAATTTTGATACAAGGTTTGCAATAACCTATATTGGACTTTTGGGTCAGAATTTTTAAAATATTTGAGCTGTAACATTAGACTTTAATTTCAACTTACCATAATGGAGAAGTAATGCTAAAACCAGGGTTAAAATCATCGGGAAAGCTGACATTTCTGTGTTTTTCTAAAATATAAATATACAAATTAAATGTTTTATTCCATTATTGTGAGCTAAAAATAAAAAATAAATGTTAAGTTGATAAGCTATATCCTATACTGTATACAGTATACACGTAGAATAAGTTTCGGCATAAAGGTTACAGTTTAAAGCAAACAAATCCAAATTTCAACGGCAATAAATGGCATAGTCTTGAAAACTAGTACTAACAAATTTCTAATAGGCGGGGTCCTGAACCATCCCACGCGCACGTGGCGCGCCTGCTCGTTGAGTCGTTTGCCAATTATGTGATTATGTAGTCCAAAAGCTGTTATCTTCCCACTGCAACGTGGACAGCAACCAATATAATTACAACAGAGCTTGTGATCTAACATTAACGTGCTGGTATAATATTTTAACTTGCTAATATTTGATCTTCACGTGGTCATATTATGTTAAGGAGGGTTCGCAGGGCCCCATTAAGAGGTTTAATGACTGGTAATGAGGGAGCCATACCGTTATAATATAAACTAATCATGTCCCTCTCTTAAGGGGGTATACACCAAAACTGGGGTTTGTGTCGGCCTTTTTCAGGCTTGTTTTGACCAAAACATCCGTCAAGGAACATCGGATTGTTTTGATGCTTGACATGAAATTGTTCTCTGAGGTCTGGCGCAGTTTTTGATGCCCTCAAAAATGTGTTTATTCAACTGGAAAGTTAATCTTTTGGACCTCAAAATCAAACAACGAATTTAGGGGCCATCTACTTAGGACGTCCGGCAGATAGGGAGGGGGGCAGGGTGGTTTTGGAACCCAAAAGTCATTTGATAACATACATTTTAAGTATTTTGCATAGTAAACTAGCTTGCAAATCCACACTTTCTCTCAAGGTATATTTTGTAGCATATTCCATTGTATAATTTGTATGTATTTGATAATTGATTTAAAAGATTTCAATAAAATTTTAAAAATAGTCACCCCTCTCCCATCCTCACCCCTTTCTCATTAGATATCTTGGTTAAGAATAGAGTAAACATATTCCTGCTGTCTGCTGAGCAGGTGGTGCTCTTTGCTTTGATAAAAGTGGTCGAGCTGTGGCCTGTGCGCGTGTTATCTCCTACGTTAATGTTGTTAAATTGAATTAATATTATTGACTTACTCGGAAAAGATGTTCCGTAAACCTTCACTTCTGAAATTTGGTGCCCAGTTGTCCCTGGGTCCGTATCCGTAATCATGATAGTGTCGCCTTTACCACCTTTACAGTCGAACGGGTAAGTCTGCTCCTCTTGGCTGATGACAGTCCGCACATCATTTGCTGTGGATACATGGAGTTATAGATTTTGGGTGTAAAAAGATCATTTTATTTTTTAGTCAGTAAACATACGCCACGTTAACCGTTTATGAAGTACAGAAATCTATTAATCAGCTCAAATCTCAGTTTTATAAACTACCTGTCACAGTGCCGCAGTCCGTCTTCGTGTTATCAGCCCCTAACCTTGCAGCATCTGTTGTTATAACCATAACCACCGTATTTATGAATCTATTAATGCTAGGTCCATAATCATGTCTATTCGTTACATTCACTGTTGAGATGGTGTATAGACCGTCCAGATAGAGTTTCAGGAAGTTCCCTGTAATCCCTGCAGCATCATTTTTCACGCTGTAGAACGTACTGTAGTCCTCATCATGTGCGTTAGAGGGCGGTCTGATGTCATTGTGGCTCTTAGCTTCTGAACTCTTTATATCAATCTGCGTGTTTTCTGCTCTCACTGCCAGAGGTCCTGAGGCAAGTCCACAATAAATAATTACGGATAATTTTGATACAAAGTTTGCAATAACCTATATTGGACTTTTGGGTCAGAATTTTTGGGTCAGAATTTGTAAATATTTGAACTGTAACATTAGACTTTAAGTTCAACTTACCATAATGGAGAAGTAATGCTAAAACCAGGGTTAACATCATCGGGAAAGCTAACATTTCTGTGTTTTTCTAAAATATAAATATACAAATTAAATGTTTTATTCCATTATTGTGAGCTAAAAATAAAAAATAAATGTTAAGTTGATAAGCTATAGCCTATTCAGTATACATGTAGAATAAGTTTCGGCATTAAGGTTACAGTTTAAAGCGAACAAATCCAAATTTCTGTAATCAAACATTTCCTGGTTAACGTGCATTTTTCGGAAAAGCACAATTTGTTTTGTTGAGAGGCTATAAGTCAATCATTTCTTGTGATATCGAGCTGAAATGTTGCACGAAGTTTATTCATATCTTGTTCAAGATGTGTGTAAAATCTTGATATCGTATCGGTAAAAGCTGCGTTTTTATAAATTTTGAAAGTCAAAAAGCGGCAATTTTTCTTTTCAGGCTTGTTGTACCAAAATATCCGTCAAGGAACATCGGATTGTTTTGATGCTTGACATGAAATTGTTCTCTGAGGTCTGGCGCAGTTTTTGATGCCCTCAAAAATGTGTTTATTCAACTGGAAAGTTAATCTTTTGGACCTCAAAGTCAAACAACGAATTTAGGGGCCATCTACTTAGGACGTCCGGCAAATAGGGAGGGGGCAGGGTGCAGGTGGTTTTGGAATTTCGGACAAATCCGAACAGGGGGAGGGGGGGCAGGGACAAAAGGAAATCGCGGCATGTACGGAATCGTAAATTTCCCATTATTTGCGACAAATTTTATGTATAGTTATAGTTTAATGTATAGTCTGTTAAAAATCGCGGTATCGCGATTTTTGGCCAAAATAATCGCGAAATCCTTTTGTCCCTGAGGGGGGGGGGGGGGGGGGGGGGGGTGGTTTCTGAAAATCCGGACGTCCGGAAATTTTGGCAGAATTAACGAAATTAAACTGATGGGCATTGGGCCATTATCAATCAAGTTGACAGCTATTAGTATTTACATAATAAAAATGAAATAAAAAACCAGAAATGCGAGTGAATGGCCGTTTGTTTCTGGTGCTTCTCTTAAATGGGCTACAACCCAACCTTGGATAAGCAGATGATCTGGAAAGCGCGCTTATTGCAAACAGTATAATTTAATCGAAATGCACACCAAGGGTAAATAATTTGCTGAATAGTTGAGCTAGCAAAAAACAGTTTCTTAGAACAATTCTCTACCGTTTAAAAGTAATTTCGAATTAAGACCACAGCATTAGCCCAATGCTTTTAACAGAAGTTTTTTTGAGGCTGTTATTACAGTATTACACAATATTCTGTATTTTTAACATAGTATAATTTGTATAGTAGCAGTAGTTACCGTGACTTTTACGACTAATGAAATATATAACTTTCCCGCATTTAAGTCGTTATATTTCTGAATTTTCTGCATTATAGAACAATTTGCCGTTTTAACAGAGATTTAGGAGTTCAAGGTCGTTGGTTTTTATCGTTTAAAAAAATGGTTAAACAAGTTTGAAAATATGCAGCCGTAGGTGTTTAATACTTTAATAAATATGGGACGATGCTTCATATTAGGTGCCATATACTTAGGACGTCCGGCAAATAGGGAGGGGGTGGTTTTGGAATTTCGGACAAATCCGGACAGGGGGAGGGGGTGGTTTTGAAAATTCGGACTCACCTGGACTGTGGACAGCGGGAGGGGGGTGGTCTGAACATTTGCGATTTTGGCAGACGTCCTTAAGTAGATGTCCCCTTGGGCATATTTTTCGTTTTTCATATTTACTGATTTTTCTAAAATTTTGATAGGAATGTGCTAGTGACTTTTTGAAGAGCGCAAAATAACCGCAACTAGCACATTTATATAAGAGTTATGAACAACAAAACACCCTAAAATGCTTCCCTTTGAAGTTATGGGAGAAAATGTGAGTTTTTAATTTTTATCTGCAAAGCCAAGAAATCACATTTTCTCCCATAACTTCAAAGGGAAGCATTTTAGGGTGTTTTGTTGTTCATAACTAATATATAAATGTGCTAGTTGCGGTTATTTTGCGCTCTTCAAAAAGTCACTAGCACATGCCTATCAAAATTTTAGAAAAATCGGTAAATATGAAAAACGAAAAATGTGCCTAAATTTGTTGTTTGGCTTTGAAGTCCAATAGATCTGAAGATAAATTAGTAAAAACATTTTTGAGGGCATCAAAAACTGCGCCAGAATTCAGAGAACAAGTTCTTGTCAACCATCAAATCAATCCGATCTTCCCTGACTGACTTTTTGGTTAAAATAAGTCTGAATAGGACAATTTCAACTTTTTGACTTTTTTAAACTTTGAAAATTTATAACACACCAGCCTTTTTAGATACGATATCAAGATTTTACACACACCTTGAAATAGATGTGAATAGACGGCGAGCAAAATTTCAACTCGATACCGCAAGAAATGATTAACTTATAGCCTCTCCACGAAACAAATTGTGTTTTTCCGAAAATTCCACTCTAACCAGGAAATGCTCGATTACAAAAATGGGTATTCTCAAAATAATTTTGTTTGATGTGGAAACGGTGCGCTAGATGGTCACTGAACTGCCTATGAGGTCATTTGGGTTGGACAGATTTGGTGTATGCCCCCTTAAGAATATTAAGTTGTTGAGCATGACGTGGTGCTGACCGTAATTACAGCTGCGAGGTTATTAAGCATAATTTAGAACTGCAATGTCTATAAAATTTAAGAGAGTTTTTGTAACTTTTCACTAAATCATGGGAGTTGGATGATACCCAAGAAGAAGTATAATATTTACCACTATTAAAGTCTACAGTCCACACATTATGTGAAAAAAAACATTAATATCTACGTTAAAATAGGTTCAAAATATAAACTGCGTGGCGCGCACAGAATGGAGTTACAATTTATGAGAAGCTGATAATTTATGGTGATCTTTACTGTTTACCAGCTAACTCACTAGAGTAAGGTTCTCCGAAGATCTTGATCTCTGATATAGAGTGCCCAGTCCAGCCCCTATCCCTCTATCCAGATCCTTAATCAACACACTGTCCCCTCTACTTCCCTTACAGTTGAAGGTGTAAGTCTGTACTGCCTTGTTGCCATAGTTACCTGCCTTGTTGCCATAGTTACCATAGTTACCATAGTTACCATAGTTACCATAGTTACCTGCCTTGTTGCCATAGTTACCATAGTTACCATAGTACCTCAAATTATTTCCTGTCGACAATATAGGTCTGTCGACGGGGTTAGGTGGCCTAGTGGTTAGAGCATCCGCCCTCTGCGCAGAAGGTTCAGGGTTCGAATCCCAGTGTCACCTAGTCTAGGGAGTAGCTAAGGATCCATTGGATCTATGCGATCTCCTCGGTCGACTCAGCCGAATGATAGGAAACTTAATTGAGGGTTAAATGAGGAGGGGTACCTGTTAAAAGTTCAAGAAAATTCCTAGGATACCCCTTCAATGCATACTGTAAACATAGTGCTATTAAATATTAACTATAGTTCAGACTCAAGTGGTAGCGGGGGCGGGTTGTCTTTCTGTTCACGTATTTATCTAGTTCCAGATGTGGGGGCGGGGGCGGGTAGTCTTTCTGTTCACGTATTTATCTAGTTCCAGATGTGGGGGCGGGGGCGGGTAGTCTTTCTGTTCACGTATTTATCTAGTTCCAGATGTGGGGGCGGGGGCGGGTAGTCTTTCTGTTCACGTATTTATCTAGTTCCAGATGTGGGGGCGGGGGGGGGGAGTAGTCGTGCTGTTTACGTATTTATCTAGTTCCAGATGTGGGGGCGGGGGGCGGGTAGTCTTTCTGTTCACGTATTTATCTAGTTCCAGATGTGGGGGCGGGGGCGGGTAGTCTTTCTGTTCACGTATTTATCTAGTTCCAGATGTGGGGGCGGGGGCGGGTAGTCTTTCTGTTCACGTATTTATCTAGTTCCAGATGTGGGGGCGGGGGGGGGGAGTAGTCGTGCTGTTTACGTATTTATCTAGTTCCAGATGTGGGGGCGGGGGCGGGTAGTCTTTCTGTTCACGTATTTATCTAGTTCCAGATGTGGGGGCGGGGGCGGGTAGTCTTTCTGTTCACGTATTTATCTAGTTCCAGATGTGGGGGCGGGGGCGGGTAGTCTTTCTGTTCACGTATTTATCTAGTTACAAATTTGGGGGCGGGGGGGGGGGGGGAGTAGTCGTGCTGTTTACGTATTTATCTAGTTCCAGATGGACAGCTGACCTGAAAAAGCTGAATGCTCGACATGTTTATATTTTAGGAGTATAAGTTGGGGTAAGTTCTTAGAATCTCACAATTGTTTGAAGGAAGGTTCCTATAAACTGCAGTTCTCGCACAAGTCCCCACAGAAACCTGTGTGTTGCTGTGGTTACTAGCAGTTACTATGGTAACCTGTGTGTTACCCAGTCTGTTCATAAACCCATCCATCCTATAAACGCCTAGTAACCATAGTAACTGCTAGTAACCATAGTAAATGCTAGTAACCATAGTAACTGCTAGTTACTATAGTAACTGCTAGTAACCACAGCAACACCCTTCAGGTAGATAAGTTGGTTAGTGTGAAAGGAGTAAACAACAGATACAGAGGAGAGATAGGAGATGTGGTGGTGGGGAGGATAACTGAAGTTCAGCAGAAAAAGTGGAAGGTTTTTATAATAGATTTTACCGTTTTGAAATGAAATGGATATGGGACACGTTATATTATCATTTTTTACATTTTTATTTAGACTTTGGCCCATGCGTTTGTTTTTTTGATCTGCAATAACGAGTCCAAACCTATTTTGACCCATCTATCTTCTGATCTTGTGACTCAGCTTTGTTCTGACCTAGTTTTGTTCTGACCAAGTATTTTTGTGACCTATTTTTGTTCAGGTGGACTGTGGTTCCAGATTAGACTGCCAACTACAGCTGAGTTCAGTGTACTTACCTGGAAACGTTCTGCGGAGGAAGACCCTTAATGATGAGCTGATGATGAGGGAGTATTTCACTGAGGGGGACCTCGTCTGTGCTGAGGTAAGTGTGATGTTAGAGTTACTTACAGTAGTAACCGTAGTAACTGTTAGTGTGATGTAGATAATATAGTTACCTACGATAGTAACCATAGTGACTGCTAGTAACCATAGTAACACACAGGTATCAGATGTAGGGAATATAGACGGTATGTTAAAGTTACACATGAGGTCCAACAAGTACGGGAAACTACCTGAGGGGGTTCTCATCAAGGTAAAATAAATGAATAAACTATTTTAAATTAATCGTATTAAGACTTATTCGTATTCGTATGAGAACATATTCAAAATTTTCATTGCATCAAAGTTTTCTCCGGATATACTACTTCCAGTACCTTGATTGCAACTTGTGTCACTCTCACCGACCTCACTGATTGGTCACTGGTAAAAAATTCAGTCAAAACCGCGAAATTTCGGTCAAGGGCACGGCAGAAAAGCTCCCCTTCAAAAATCTTCAAAATATCTTTTTATATTCTGATGATTTTCCGTTAATCAAAGCTTTCTTTGATAATATCTTCTTACCGGTATATAATATACATCGTATACAGTAATGATATACGACCAATGTCTTCCACGATGCAGAAATGGTAAATTAACAAATTCCACGTACACGTTTATGTGATATTTTTGCACAAAGTAACTCTTGTATTAACAAAATCCCAGGTCCCCAGCGTGCTAATAAAAAGAAGCAAGCTCCATTTTCACAGATTACCCTGTAACGCTACTGTGATACTTGGGAACAATGGGTTCGTGTGGGTTGGACCACATTTCTCACCCGATCAGCCGGTAAATAAATTTACTTTCGCTTTCACTTTCACTTTTTTTCATCGATCAGATTAGGGAGTTCAAGCAAGGGCGTTGTTTTTTATCGTTTAAAAAATGGGTTAACAAATATATTAATATGGTTCAGCACTTCCGGACGTTCCGATCTGTAACAAAAATACTTGGCGTGTCTGAATTAACTATTATATGCGTTGGATGTTTATAATTGCAATGGAAACGGAATCAAGCTCAAAAAGCCTCAAATGGCGGATTACAGCATAAAAGTAAAAGCAATGTTCAAATCGTTACCAGAAAGTTCATCTTATCAGCAAAGCGGCAGATAAGGATTAAACGATTATTGTTAAATATTGTTACAAACCGTCAAATTGAAGATGTTGCAGGGCAACAGTGTTGGCAGAGTTCAGCTTGAATTCTTGTAGAGCACCAAATACTCCGCCTAACGAGGGTTTAGTAATTAGAATCATCAAGATCGGTATTTCCCCCAATCAAACAACGAATGAGTTTCAAAAATTCCAACGAGGTCTTTATAACATTGGTAGAATTATTTAGAACCTCCGGATTCTAATTATTCAGCTTATTATACACTTTTCGATAAGTTTCTTATTTAGTGCTCGCCTCGCTTGTTACACGAGAACACTGCTTACTGGGTAACCTTGTGTGTAATTTTACAAGATTGCCCGGGTTCTAGAAGCAACAGAGAAAAGGTTAGTTTGTGGAAATAAGACACGTACAATAATTGTGCGTGTCTTACTTAAGTAATCGGGGAGATTGATTGGTGGATAGCAAAACTGCTGAAATGACTGATTTAGTCAAGTAGTTACTTGCTAGTTATTTCATAGTGAAGGAACTTAAATAGATTTCACTGAAAAGCCGATTTTGAGGATGTAGTGCCGATCTGAATATCCCCTCACTATGAATATTATTGTTGGTAACACTAACCGGAGGGGCTAACAGTGACGGTTGTGTCCTCAAAGGTAACAGTGTAATCTCCTTTCTGTACATTAACAGTAACAGAAACTTTATCTTCGTCACAACTTATTATGTACTCAAACCTACCCTGATAAAAAGAGAGTGAGTCAAGAGTTACAATGGTTACCATGAGTTAATAACAAGGTCGATTTCTCGGTTATTTTTAAGCTTTCGTTCAGAAAATAATTCGGGACCTTCAAAGGGGGTAACAAGAAGGATTGCATCACCTCTTTCCTCTGCTGAGCGGGTACTTACCCTTAAAAGTAAACAAATGTGCATCACCTCTTTCCTTTGCTGAGCGGGTACTTACCCTTAAAAGTAAACAAATGTACCTCACCTGCCCACGAGAATCCACATATTATATAATCTTTCAAAATAAACTCACATCAGTGACAGCGCGGTTCATCTTCATGTGGTGTAGGACAGAAAGAGAGGGAATCAGTTCACTCTTTTGCTCAGGAGTGAGGTCCCCTCCACTGTAGCCCTGGGGGTACTCCTCGTCCAGAAACTTGGTGGAGATGTTGCCTGATTTGAACCTTGCGGTAGATGGTATAAGTTAGATACAGTCTGCGGTGGGATAAAGAGATTGTAGTTGGCAAAGATATTTAGAAACAGAAAAACGTAGACTTTTGTTTAAATTCACTAAAAGAACTTTTAGTAAGCTGTAGTAAGAAATGGTGGAGGTCGGACAGAATGGACTGTCTCCGACCTGTTGAAATAGAATCTTGTGTGGTACATACACATTATTGTCATTAAAATGTAACTAGGTATAGTAGAACCTAGTGTATTTGGAAAACATAGGTATATTATTATAAGACACAAGGAATTTTCTTGTGTATGACACTAAATGCACATGAAATGAAAAAGTCTAGAACTTCCTAAACTAACCTCTCATTTCCCAGTATCTCCCGTAAAAGTGGAGTGTTATGAGTGATGCCGTCAATAACATACTAAACTAACCTCTCATTTCCCAGTATCTCCCGTAAAAGTGGAGTGTTATGAGTGATGCCGTCAATAACAAACTAAACTAACCTCTCATTTCCCAGTATCTCCCGTAAAAGTGGAGTATTATGAGTGATGCCGTCAATAACAAACTAAACTAACCTCTCATTTCCCAGTATCTCCCGTAAAAGTGGAGTATTATGAGTGATGCCGTCAATAACAAACTAAACTAACCTCTCATTTCCCAGTATCTCCCGTAAAAGTGGAGTATTATGAGTGATGCCGTCAATAACAAACTAAACTAACCTCTCATTTCCCAGTATCTCCCGTAAAAGAGGAGTGTTATGAGTGATGCCGTCAATAACAAACTAAACTAACCTCTCATTTCCCAGTATCTCCCGTAAAAGTGGAGTGTTATGAGTGATGCCGTCAATAACAAACTAAACTAACCTCTCATTTCCCAGTATCTCCCGTAAAAGAGGAGTGTTATGAGTGATGCCGTCAATAACAAACTAAACTAACCTCTCATTTCCCAGTATCTCCCGTAAAAGTGGAGTGTTATGAGTGATGCCGTCAATAACAAACTAAACTAACCTCTCATTTCCCAGTATCTCCCGTAAAAGTGGAGTATTATGAGTGATGCCGTCAATAACAAACTAAACTAACCTCTCATTTCCCAGTATCTCCCGTAAAAGTGGAGTGTTATGAGTGATGCCGTCAATAACAAACTAAACTAACCTCTCATTTCCCAGTATCTCCCGTAAAAGTGGAGTGTTATGAGTGATGCCGTCAATAACAAACTAAACTAACCTCTCATTTCCCAGTATCTCCCGTAAAAGTGGAGTGTTATGAGTGATGCCGTCAATAACATACTCATCCAGAGCTTTCTCCATGTGATCTATAGCCTCCTGCCTTGTTGGAGCGTATGTTACTAGTTTAGATATCATGGGATCGTAGTGGATACTAATGCTGCTACCCTCTACTATACCACTATCACATCGTACTCCTGGAGAATATAGGGAATCAGGAATCAATTATCTTTAATCTAACAATCATCATCATCTTCGATGTAAAACTAACACTTGTAGTTGTTGAACAACTGCTAAATTCGCGGAGAACTAGATCTGGAATACACTAACCTAGTTGGGAGTAACCTAGTAACCAGTAATACACTAACCTAGTAACCTAGTAACCTAGTAACCAGTAATACACTAACCTAGTAATCTAGTAACCAGTAATACACTAACCTAGGTCTGCAGTGTTGTGAGAGACGCCTGGTTCTGTGTATTTGGTGAGTAGACCTACACTGGGCAGATATCTGACTGGGTCCTCTGCGTACACTCTACACTCCATAGCCCATCCTGAAATTAGCAGTTAGCAGGAATACTCTCAAATAGCTACTTAGTAACCAAGTAACCCTAGTAACCTAGTATGCTAGTAAGCTAGTAGCCTAGTAACCAGTAATACACTCTACACTTCATGGCCCATCCTGAAATTAACAGTTATCAGGCATACTGTGCAGTACTTGGGAGCAGGTCTCGAGCAGGTCTTCGGCGTATTTTCACGTTTATTGGACGATTTGGACGTTTCAGGACAATTTTCGGGCTTCAGTAGTAAGCTGATAATGACTGATTTGAGCCAAACACAGCAGGGGTGATAAGTCTAAGACACGTACCTTTGATTCCGATATCAGATTGGGTATAGCTGAGAGGGTAGCCGGCCGCTACGCGTAACATCTCATCCACTATATCCACCTGAAATAAGATGTGTTAGTATCAAGTATTTAGCATATCCCACGCTATCACGTTCCCCTACTGCACACATTAGACTAGAACTAAGACAAAGGAATGGAGCAAGCAATGGCACTAGGTTACTAGGTTACAGGTTACTAGGTTAGTAACCATTAGTAACCAGTGCTGAAGGTACTTACCCCAGTTATACACTCCGTGATAGGGTGCTCAACTTGCAGTCTCGTGTTCATCTCCAGGAAGAAGAAGTTCATTTGGGTGTCCACTAGGAACTCTACCGTGCCCGCACTCTGGTAATAAACAGTGTTTAAAGGAACATGAAGAAATTCCCAAAATGTGTCATAAACACCGTGAACAACATTGAAATCTATCAAAGAGTATCCTGAATATACAAATTTGCTGACTGCAGTGGGTCAGGGTAAACAATTATAAAAGTTTGGTTAAAATACTAAACTAACCTGATAATTTACAGCTTGAGACAACAGCACCGCTTGTTCTCCCATAGCCTTTCTCACTTCAGGAGTGATGAAGGGACTTGGCGCTTCCTCAACTACCTGGATAAGATGGTCAGTGAGATACCGGACTGAGGTCATAACTGCAAGAGCAGTCGATAAACTGATTGATTGATATGAATATAATAGTAACTAAGGAACTATAGTAACTATAGTAACTATAGTAACTATAGTAACTATAGTAACTATAGTAACTATAATAACTATAGTAACTATAGTAACTTCTAAGGAACGTACTAACCTTCTGATTCCTCCTCTGAATACTACACTCCCTTTCATTCAAGTAAATACAGTTTCCCTGGCTATCTGCCAAGATTTGTATCTCTACGTGACGAGGGTTATCGATAAACCTGTACGTCATCAATTAACAAACTTAAGAACTTATAAAACTGATACAGTATATTTATCAGATGAAAATTATTAAATTTCTGAAAATTTCTGAAAATTGTTAAGTTGTAAGAACTATTCCCAGTTTTAAATCTGAAGCCCTGCAAGTAAGATAATACATCATTATATTATTAAGTTATATTATTAAGTTATCATAAAATTAATGAACACACACCGTTCAATGAGAAGTCTATCATCTCCAAAACTAGCTGCGGCCTCCTCTGAGCTCAGTTTAAATCCCTCCCTCACTTCAGCGTCATTCCACGCTACTCTCATACCTGGTGGTGAGAATGTAACTGTTATTTACTGTTGGGGTGTCCAGCCATAAAAAACCCATTTTCAAAATGGAAATTTCAGGTAAAGTTGGGTTTTTTTGGGCCAGTATAGGTCAGTGAACTCTTACTTGATTAGAAAACATTGAAAAGAATACCTAGGGGTTTTGTTTTCAATGTAGTCGAATTAGACAAAAAGTTACAAAAAAAGGAAAAAATCCAAAAAAACCCATTTCCAAAATGGAAATTTAAGGTAAAATGGGTTTTTTGGGGTGGGACACCGCCCACTCTTTCTTGGTAGCCAAGGAGTGAAATAGTGAAAGGGTCGAGTGTAAAGTGTAAATGGACCCGTCTATATTTGGTTAATTAGTCGTACATGAATAGTATAATTTATCAAATTTATGCAGATATATTTAAATTTATATCCCCGAAAAAGTAAAGTAGTGCCGGCAGGTGTCCGACCCTAAGGGGCTCCCGGACTGTTATAGCAGCTGATTGGGACCGCCCTATGGATCGCCTTATCTTATTCCGATAATATAAGATTATATTGTTTTATTCGAGAAATAATTATATAACAGCCCGGAAGCCCCCCAGGGTCGGACGCCTGCCGGCACTACTTGACTCGCCCACTCTCGTGGGGTGACACGTGGACTTGCCCGCGAGACTGCGTGAACTGGGTAAAGGGGTTCCCTTTCCCGCCTAAAACCGTTCTTTAAATCGAAACGGTATAAGACTAAAAGTAAGTTATATACTTCTGAGGGTTTTTTGGGGATATAAATTACGCTGTAAACTGTGCTTACCTTTTCCACCACCTCCGGCCGATGCCTTTATCATTACAGGATATCTGAAATGTTATGGTATTACCTAGGGCATGTCGTGATATTATCGTGGATCAAAGTAGTTCAAATACTGTATTACCTTAGATTGTTTTCTGCCCAGCAGAGTTTACATACTGCTAGTACTACTACAGTAGTCAGCGCAGTCCAGATAAAAAGAAACTATGGTCAACCACAGCGCCAGATAATTGTGAATTAACAGGTAACTATGGTAACTAGCTCCTCCAATAACAGGAAACTGTAAACTAACTAACCCGACTTGATTAGCAATAGTGACAGCAGCCACATCGTCCTCCACAACACCATCATAACCAGGTATACAGTTCACACCTGCAGCCCGCGCTATTATCTTGGACTCTATCTTATCACCCATAGCCTGACAGAGTAGTTTTATCAGAGTAACTCATGGGAGGGGGGGGGGGGGGGGCATTATTAGGTAATATACGCTAATCTAACTGCGTATAATGCGATTACACTATTAATTGCACGAGGCGCAGCCGAGTGGAAATTGATACAATAATCGCACGAGGCGAAGCCGAGTTCGATTATTGCAGTTATTTCACGAGGCGCAGCCGAGTGCAATAACTGGTGTAATCGTATTATACATGCAGTTAGATTCGCGTATAACTCCACGCCTCTGATGTTATAACCAGTGTAATTAGTTTATAATCGCACCTACTTTGTTGTTATACAGGGTGGGCCTCAAAAGTCTACCCATTTTTATCTCTTAAAATTGTAACAGCTCGCTGAGATCTCACTAATTATTTTATTTCAGAATGGAAAAGCGCCATAACTTACGTTCTGATTAATATTTTTGATTCAAATTTTTAGAGAATGTCAATCTTAATTAGACACAACTTCGTGCTAAGTTTTGTGTGAGTCTGAGCTTGTCTGACAAAGTTAGCTCCTGAGTGTGCTAGCTTTAATTTCTCACCCAGAACTGTTTAGATTGGTTAATAGAAACCACCAAAAAAAATCCTGGGTAAAAAAATTAAAAAACCACCGATTTATTTATGTTTTACCAATTCTATTCACCATGATACATCGCACATTCCATGTGAGAAGAACGATATAAACAAGCAGGAAGGATCATCTGTGATAGTCCTTATCAGTTAAAATATAGAGAGAATGGAATGTGCGATGGATCCATGTGAATAGAATTGGTAAAACGTGAATAAATCGCTGGTTTTTTTAATTTTGTTACCCAGGATTTTTTTTGGTGGTTTCTATTAACCAATGTAAACAGTTCTGGGTGAGAAATTCAAGCTAGCTCGCTCAGGGGCTAAATTGGTCAAATAAGCTCAGTGAAGCTCGCAATCACACAAAACTTGCCACAAAGGTTTAGCTACTTGTTATTAACATTCTGTGAAATTTAGAAGCAAAAATATTAATCAGAACATAAGTTATGCCACTTTTTGTTTTACAAATAAACCGTGAGAAATCTGCCCTGCCTCATACTGTGTTGTGTTAATGCAATGTAAGGATTGACTTATTCCAAACACAAGGAAAGATGTTGTCCTAAACTATAAATTTAAATTTGTGCCCATATATTTATTTCGTGCGACCATTACACTAACGGTCGCCAAACTACCTCAGGTAGTTGATTTAAGTCAATACTTGAATCAGCACCTCACAGTAGTAAAATACTCGGTTTTAATTAGGTCCTCATTTTACGAGGTGCTCTCTCTAACTCTAATTATCTGCCTGAGCCATGATTTACAGCATCTTTCAGGGAATTAGTTTAGTAATCGTACCTAATAAGATTTCGGTCACTCTCAAAACAGTGCAATTAGTTTTGTAATCGCACCCCCTGGAACAAAAACCGGTGCAATTATGGAATTAATAAATGGCCGCCAAATAGGTCAAAAGTGGAGTTATATAACAAATTGAGTAGTAGCTCTTGTTAGTTAATATAACAAATTGAGTAGTACTAGGTCATTGTTACTTGTTAGTTATCAGTTAACAGTTAAATATTCTATCAATATTCAACTATTTTAGTTAATGAAAGTCTCCTAAACTACTGTACCTGTATAGCCTTTTCTTTAGGCCCAATGAAGGCTATACCCCTCTCCTCAAGGAGTTGAGCGAACTTACAGTTCTCACTGAGGAACCCGTACCCTGGGTGTACTGCTTGAGATCCTGTACTTACTGCCGCGTTCACTATCGCCTGATAGTATACTGTTTAGTGTTTAGATAACAGTCGCCACTTCAGTGATATACGTTATAGGGGGAGGGGTGGATCATGATTCCCCCTTAATATGGTTAAGTAAAATGAATATACTAAACGATAAGTTTTGGAGAACTTTATTTTAAGTGATCTATCTTCTGCAAAATAATGAATTATAATGACTTTGTTGCAGCTAAAAGATCCCGATAAAATAAATTATGTTGAGCCCTCATCTTACCTCCATGTCCAGGTAACTCTGGTTGCTAGGAGCCGGTCCCACACAGATAGCCTCATCAGCCATCCGCACGTGCAGCGCGCGGTCGTCCACGTCACTGTGTACCGCGACTGTCTTGATGCCGAGCGAGCGGCACGTCTTCATTACACGGCATGCTATCTCCCCTCTGTTCGCTATCAGTACCTGCCAGGAGACCACTTGTGTTAATTGTAGACCAGGATACTGGTTGGGGTGAGCTTTATTTGGTTTGACACGTGGTACTGATGTATGGAGTTGGGTGGTCCCTGCTGGAAACTGACTGATTAATGGTTGTTTCCCTTCAGAAAGCTCACCTCCCCCAGTATCTTTGTCTGGAGAAATACGTTTCGAAGAATGTGCTATTTTCAGTATTCTTTTAATAAATGGAGCAAGGAATAGAGTTTTAAAATACTATCTCACTTTATCAAAAGGTTTGGTGACGGTGGCAGTTTGAAGAGTTCTTTTAAACTGTGCGAGGAGACCGGCGCGTGACATGGCTGACTAAAGAGCTAGAGAAGAAGTTTAGTTATTTACTAACGAATTTGTTAAGTTATTAAGCTGTCTACGATTTGTTTAAACAAAAGTCTTTTTAATTTAATTTAAATTCTTGTATTAAATTCTTGTAACCCAGTTTAGTTAGTGGATTTGTCAATAGTTAGTTGTTGCAATAATAATATGTCACTCTAACGGTTAACCCAGGATTTTAGTAATTTGTAAAGGTAGCTATGGGCTATATCAGGCTGAAATTAGAGTTCAGACTCTAGGAAATGAAATTAACTTCTCGATCAAGTAAAATATTTGGAAAATATTAGAAAATTACAAAACTTTATCATTTTATGGGTTGTTGGAAAAGGGGTTTCTTGGCAAACTAAAGAACATTAGCAGATTTTATAACATGAATAATAATTTAAATCTAAAATAAATAGGTCCCTCTCGCAGTAATTTGCAATAAAAGTCAACACACAATATCCAGGCCACGGGTAAAATACACACAATCTTCACCTTTAAACAATCAAATTAACTTAATATTATAGGAACAGTAGGGAGGTTCATACATGAACAGGTACTACTAATTAAACTAAGTTAATACTGCAGTTTTATCTCTTGTTAGCAATACCCTTTCTTACTTTCCAGTATCTCCACCTCTGTCTCTCGGCCCACATTACTTCAGTCTTCTGTCCGGAGAAGTCCTCGTAGGAACACTGGTATAACTTCTCTCTGTAGGGAGGTTCATGGTACAACTAAAGGTTTAAACTAATTACAACACTACAAATCTATTACATTAATTGAGCTATGTAAGAAGTAATTGTAACGTCTCGTCCATGACAAGGGCATGAGCCAAAACGTCGACAACCATTTGTTTGAAAAACTGAATGGAGACTCTCACTTTGTCCCAAAACAGCAATTAAAACTAAAGGTTGATAAAAATTGGTGAAAAATATGGGCGTGGCTGGAGAGAATGTTTCCGGTTTCAGTTGAAGCTTTAAAATTTGTTATTTAGTGGTATTTTCTCCAGCTCCTCAAGGGGATCCAAACCAAAACTCAGTGCTTGTTTGGCCTTATAAGTTTACCATTACTTAGAAAATGTAGGTTATAGATGTGGATACTGGCGGGGAGGTGATAATTGTTTGTTTACATTAATAGTGAGCACATGTTAAGCAGGCTGAGGAGGTGATAATTGTTTGTTTACATTTTAGGTCGAGCACATGTTAAGCAGGCTGAGGAGGTGATACATATTTTGTATTATAGAAGGTTCGTAACACTTGTAACGCCTTCTTGTTACCCCCCTTTGAGGACCCCGAATTATTTTCTGAACGAAAGCTCAAAAATAACCGAGAAATCGACCTTCTTATTAACTCATTTTGATGACTGTTTCTGACCTAAAATTGCACGAAAAATCGATTTAGCTAGGTTTCAGAACCTATAAACACTTCCTTATCCCTCAAAATTGATGTTTTATAGTTAATACGACCAACAAGCAACATATATTTTGATCCTTCGGTTCTACTCATGACCTAGACAGTTAAGCTGAACCCGACAGATTGAGGCAATCCTCACCTTAACTGATCAAACTGGTACTAACACAATTTTCAGATATAAATGTTCTTTGCGATACGTTTATTGCAGCTTTGCAACTTGAGTGAAGACCATGAGAGTACGAAAACACACAGCAGGTAAGCAACTCACTTTTGGTGACTGTTCCTCACGAACATTCTGATCCTGTAACATATGAACAGGGAGATCGTCTCCTTAACAAATCGAACAGGTACTATCACAATTTCCAGAGCACAGCATGATAACAAAGTCAAAAGAAACACAATGAAGGTAGGTTACCAACACCACAATATAACAATCATACTGACAACTGAATTAAATGTATTCTGACGACGGGCAGCCCTGATGTGCTCCGTGGTCCTCAACGAGCGACCACTTGTAATAGAGGTGTTATGTCATGTGACACCGATCCGTCCAATCACAAACAGGAAAAGTGAGCAGATCGATATCGTGTGTTTACTTTCCTTATCTTTATTTGACCCTCTGTTCACATTGTTATCTCTACCACATCTTGACTCGGCAAGGTCCGCGTGCAATATCTGCACCGCGGTAAACACTCCATGATTACGTCATGAACTTGAAATAGTGTGATTGTTGTACACTTATATAACCGTGCCCATCGCCCACGTACATTACAAACTGTTGGGGGGGGGGGGGGGGGGGTCGGGGACGGCATATTTAGATTCTAAGACTTTTTTAAGCACGGACATAGTAATCATGGTAGCATGGATACAAACAGACAAACAAAGGAGGAGGAGGACTGAGGGAGAGGGGGAGGAGGAGGGGGAGGAGGACTGAGGAGGACTGCGGAGGAGGAGGACTGAGGAGGAGGAGGACTGAGGTGGAGAAAAAAAGGAGGGGGGGGAGAGGAGGATGAGGACTGAACAGGAAAAAACGACACGAATGTGTACGGTACCAGCTAAAATATCTACCAGTTACATTCAGTACAAGTATATTTCGAATAGCAATTTTAATAGCGTACAGCAAAGTTCTAACCCATGATCCGAAATAAAATGCAGCTGGTAAACGAACTAAAGAGGGGTTCACTGAACCATTTCAACAGCGCACCTATTACCCGTTATCGATTTTATCAATACTTGAACTTCCGTGTTATCTCATCTAAAATAAACACCCCGCACACAAAATGAATGCCATTGACTTGAGGGCAAGTGCAGCATTTTAAAGTTACACAAACTCTTATTACAATTGTGAGAAGGACTCCAAGTTTACATATTTAAAACGGCAATGACTAATTACAAAGCACAAATTGAAATTTTTAGTGTCTAACCTGGCAAAAATGAACTGCACCATGTTGAACTAGTACTTCAACTCTGCCAGGTATAACCATGCTTGTCCTCCAGTATACTGCCTCCTCCTGGAACATACAGTTCTGGTAATCGTACTGTAGCGCGACACGTACTCTAGTGCGACACGTACTCTAGTGCTAAGTCCGACAAAAACACCCTCTGTCGCACTAGGGTACGTGTCGCACTACGATCCAGGTAGCGTACTCTACTGCTACTAAATATCCTGACTTATTTCCAAGTTCAGGTCACATCCTATCCTTCTTATGGACCATTAAGTGATTCGTCGGGTCGGTTCACGTCACTTATTTCAAAGTGATCTTGCGAACACGATTCGTCGGTTCACATCATGTATTTTAAAGTGATCCACTGATCATAATTCTTTAGGGTCAGTTCAAGCCACGTATGTGATCCACTGAGTAACTCGTAAGCAGCATAATATCCTCATTCCTATCACACGCATCGTATGAAGATATATCTCCGATTGGGATAACAAGTTCATATGCTTGGGACTAGGTCATGCAGCAACATGACCTTGTCCCGGAATACAACGCAGAGAACTCAGCAGTACGGAAGTACTTTCAGATGATCGGTGCTATTGCCTTCGTGGACCTTGGAGACGTACTGGATACCTGGACGCAGCTGAAAGAAACTCTTCCCCGTAGATGGATTACTATTGTTGACTACTACGAACGTACCTGGGTCGGAACACAAACCTCCCCTCTACACCCACTGGATCTGGAATCAACGGGATGCTGTCATGGCCGGACGCTTGAACGCTGTGATTGATAGCTACGATGATTATGACAGAATGGATTATTTGAAGTGTGTTGGAACAATGATTTTGAATTGAATATTGTGATTGTAATCTTTGATTTTATATTTAACCCCAATACTTATACACGACTACACTCTTGTCATTAAAACTTAAAAATGGAAAGGCAAATTTTCATTGAATGTGTAAAGTGTTTTGTCGCACTTTAGTTCGTGTCGCACTACAGTCCAGGTAGCGCACTGTAGTGCGACAGTGTCGGCCTTGAAAATTCTCTGTCGCACTAGGGTACGTGTCGCACTACGATCCAGGTAGCGTACTCTACTGCGACAGTGTCGTTCTCGGAGGTTTCGCACTAGGGTACATGTCGCACTAGAGTACGTGAACCTACAGTTCTTGTCAGTGAAGTCGTGTCCTAGATTCTGTTTCCAAACACTTACTGTCTAAAGGTCTAAGTTAAGCAAAGGAGCACTCATGGGATATATGCATTATTCCTTTGCTTCCCATAGATCAACAGGGTGGCAGGTTCATTGTTGCCAGGTTAGACCCTAAAAATTTTCAATTTGTGCTTTAAATTTATCATTGCCGTTCTTTAAATATGTAAACTTGGATCCGTCTCAAATTGTAATAAGAGTTTGTGTAACTTTAAATGCTGCCAACTTGCCCTCAAGTCAATGGCATCATTTTGTGTGCGGGTGTTTATTTTGAGTGAGATAACAAACGGAAGGTTCCAGAGTAATTGATAAAATCGATTAACGGGTAAGAAGTAGCGCTGTTGAAATGTTCAGTGAACCCCTCTTTTGGTCGTTACCAGCTGCATTTTATATTTCGGATCAATAGGTTAACTTTGCTGTACGCTATTAAGATGCTGATTCGAAATATACTGTTACTGAAATAAGCGTGGTAGATATTTTAGCTGGTACCTGTACAACATTCGAGTCCGTTTTTTCCTGTTCAGGAGGGGTCCTCATCCTCCTCTCCCCCCCCTCCGTTTTTTCCCACCTCAGTCCTCCTCCTCCTCATCCTCGCCTCCGCAGTCCTCCTCAGTCCCTCCTCCCCCCCTCCTCCCCCCTTCCCTCAGGTCTCCTCCTCCTTTGTTTGTCGGTTTGTATCCAGCTACAAGATTACTATGTCCGTGAGCTTTAAAAAAGTCTTAAGAACTAAATATTGGCCGTCCCGCGACCCCCCCCCCCCCCCCCAACAGTGTGGAACTGTACGTGGCGATGGGCATCGGTTATATAAGTGTACACAATCACACTATTTCAAGTTCATTGAACGTAATCATGGTGAGGTTACCTCGGTGCAGAATATTGCACGCGGGACCTTGCCGAAGTCAAGATAGTGGGTAGAGATCACTATGTGAACTGAGGTCCA